GCGGCGCTGACCTCGGGAGCGCCCACTCGGACCCGAGGGCTCTGAGATGGGCGGGCCCGTGCCGTCGTCGCGGGTGGGAGGCGGAGGATGTGGCGGGCCTGGCACGGTCGGTCACTGCCCCAGCCGGGCCTGGGGCGGGCCGTGTGGACAGGAGGTTCTGGCCGCAGCGGGCCTGGGTGGAACGGGGCAGGGTGCAGGGGGCCCGTTCTCGGTCTGCGGCCTCGAAGTTGGGGCTGGGGAGCCGTGATGCTCGGTCTGGCGTGCAGCCTGCGTCAGACCTTCCTTAGACCGGCGGCGTCGGCAGCCTGTACAGGGCGAGCTAGGTGTGCCGCCCCTGTTTGGTAGGCAGGGAGCTGAGACCCAGCTAGCGCAGTCGCCCGCTTCGTGGCTGAAGTAGAGCCTCCCAGATTCCCCCGGGCCCTTGGGCTTGTGCTCCCGTCCAGGGGTCACCGAAGTGTGGGAAATAAATAGCCATGCCTAGGTTGCACCTTGCTGCCGATTGTCCCTCACTCCTGTGCTGGAGCGCACGTGCCCCTCTGCAGGCCCCGCAGAGATGCCAGGAAGAGCTGGACTGCGGGTCTTTCCGTGGGCCAGCACCTGCCCCTTGGGGGCAGCAGCCACCTCCCTCCCCCGTCTCCCACCCTCAGCTCCCTGCGACCAGGCGCAAGGCAGATCGCAGTGCCACGAGACAAGAGCTCAGTGCAGTGCGCACCAGTTAGTGTAACGGGACTCTGAGGCAGTAGCCCTGGGTCTGCAGGGAGTGAGCTCTGCACTGAGGTTAAGTATGGTGATGGGACACCAAAACAAAGGGCGGTTGAGGGGAGATTGGAAACGTGGTTATCGATTATCTTGTCAGCAGGAAGGTCTGCTCTGAGTGAGGCAGACTCAGGTTGTGCATGGGGTCCCCAGCCTCTTCCCCACAAGGTCCTCCCGGGGGGTGGGTAAGGGGGCAGTGGACCCGGTGCGGAGCCATGGGGGGCTCTTGGGTGTTCTGTGTGTTGGAGACAGTGTGTGGGGCAGCTAGCAGAGGGTGCTGTTGATACGGCCTGGGATGCTGCGCACCCGAGGGCCTGTTTTGCCATGAGGGCCAGGGTGGGGAGAGCCCTCGGTTGACCTCCCCTCACCCCCGTAGATGGCGGCGGCTGAGGCGGTCCACCACATCCACCTGCAGAACTTCTCCCGCTCGCTGCTAGAGACCCTCAACGGGCAGAGGCTGGGCGGGCACTTCTGCGATGTGACCGTGCGTATTCGCGAGGCTTCGCTGCGCGCGCACCGCTGCGTGCTGGCCGCCGGCTCGCCCTTCTTCCAGGACAAGCTGCTGCTTGGGCACTCGGAGATCCGCGTGCCGCCGGTGGTGCCTGCGCAGACGGTGCGCCAGCTCGTGGAGTTCCTCTACAGTGGCTCGCTGGTGGTGGCGCAGGGCGAGGCGCTGCAGGTGCTCACCGCTGCGTCGGTGCTGCGCATCCAGACGGTCATCGACGAGTGCACCCAGATCATTGCTCGCGCCCGCGCCCCCAGCGCTCCCGCTCCCTTGCCCGTGCCCCCGCCGCTGGCCCCTGCACAGCTGCGCCACCGCCTGCGTCACTTGCTGGCCGCGCGCCCCCTGGGCCCCCCAAGTGCCGTGCACAGCCGCAAGCAGCGCCAGCCCGCGCGCCTGCAGCTGCCCGCGCCACCTGCGCCCACCCGTGCGGAGGGGCCCACGGCCAGCCCCACCCTGCCCGCCGCGCCCGATGACAGGGGTGATGAGGACGAGGATACCGAGGAGGACACTGATGGCGAGGACGGTGAGGGCTCTGCGCCCCCTGCCTTCCCTGACTGCGCTGCCGGTTTTCTCCCAGTGGCAGCAGATGAGGCGCAAGAGGAGCCCCCTCGGCCTCCCGGCCTCTCGGACCACAGCGGTGCAGGCAGGGACTTCCTGCGGGGGGCCGCAGCGGCGGAGGACGTGTTTTCGGACGGCTTCGTGTCAGCCTGGCGCGAGGAGGAAGGCTCCATTACAGAGGGCGGCCCTGCTGAACCCCCTGTGCCACCTGACTGCGCCCTAGCCGGGCCGCGCGCACCTCCACCTGCTGCTAAGACCCCAGGGCCCCTGGCCCCGCTCTTCCCCTTCCACCTAGGAGCCCCCGGCCCGCCCGCACCCCAGGGGCCTGCCTTCTACCCCGCACTGCAGCCTGATGCCCCTAGCAGTCAGCTAGGGGAGGCACCAGCCCCACCGGCCCCCGTAGTCCCGGCCACCCCTGTGCCACCTGCCTACGAGTGCAGCCATTGCCACAAGACCTTCAGCTCACGGAAGAACTACACTAAGCACATGTTCATCCACTCGGGTGAGTGGGCCTGCGGGAAGGGCAGCTCCTGGACGTCCAAGGCCCAGGGAATGAGTATGGTGTGGTTTGGGGTTTTGTTGTTTCCTAATAGCCCCAGGGGGCTTGGAAATTGAACACCCTAGATGCACCAGGTGGAGCAGCAGGTGCTGTGGGGGCGAGGAGGGGGAGTCTGTCCAGGGACTTTGGAAATCTAGGGAGGCAGAGGCCAGGCCTGAGGACCGTTTCAGGACAGGGACAGGGTGGAGGTGAGGGGGATGAAAGATCCCAAGGTCGCAGGAAGCTTCCCTCTGGCCAGATCAGGGAGGCACCTGCACAGGGCTGGGGAGAAACAGAAAGGATGGCACTGGGAGGTGTGACCGCAGGTGGTGGCTGGCAGCTTTTCCAGCCTGCAGAGCTTCCTGTTTCCAGGACAACCAGAAACTCAGCTGGAAGGCCCCAGTGCAGGAGGTGTTCTTTTTTTGGTTTTTCTCCGGTACCGGGAACCGAACTCACGACCTTGCGCTTGCCAGGCAGGCGCTTTGCCGCTGAGCTAAATCCCCAGCCCCGCAGGAGGTGTTCTTTGCGGGCAGGAGTGAGTGGTAGGGAAGCTAGTGGTGCTCTGGACAGAGTGTGATGTCTCAGTGACTGAGATCTCAGCCGGGAAGCATGGTGGCTCAGTAACTGGCCTCCAGAAGGCTGCCTGGGACCCCAAGGTAGCGCCAGTTTTGTCAGCCAGAGCCAGTTCCCAACACTTCAACAGTCACTGCCTTGTAGACCCCTGTCTCTGATAGGTTTTTTTGTTAGCACTTGATGACTCTAGGGCAGTGGTGGTGAACCTATGGCATGCATGCTACAGTGGGCAGTTTGTATCATTGAAAGTTCTAAAATGTTCATCATCACTCTTCTAGGGGCAGGCAGAAACATCTTGCCTCTTTTCCAAAAAGGCGAGGCAGGCAGGCTGCACTGTCACCCTAGAGACATTATGGTAGCCATAGGCAGAAGTTGTGGGCAACTGAGGCTTCCAGCAGGAAGGAGCGAGGTGTCTCTGGTTTCTCTTGGTGTAAGGGTGCTGCGCCTTGTGGACAGTCCCCAAAACGGTGACTGGTAGACCAGGCTTAGACGGCTCCGTGGATACCTGGGGCAGAGGCAGCCCTTGTACCCCGCTGGACCAGGCCAGGTATGGGTGGGCAGTAGATGATCCAAACATAAGGTTCTCTGCTGGGAGGGTCCCTGTTGGACGCTGGGCAGTGGCATCTTGGGATAGCATGGGTCTGGGAGAAGGGTGGCCTGCAGACCAAGAGGCCCCAGGCCTGGGGAGGTTCAGAGGCCCAGGGAGGGAGGGCAGCTGGTCTGACCTTCGCCACCTGTCGTCCTCAGGGGAGAAGCCACACCAGTGTGCCGTGTGCTGGCGATCCTTCTCGTTGCGCGACTACCTGCTCAAGCACATGGTCACGCATACAGGTGTGCGTGCCTTCCAGTGTGCTGTCTGCGCCAAGCGCTTCACGCAGAAGAGCTCGCTCAATGTGCACATGCGCACACACCGGCCCGAACGGGCTCCCTGCCCAGTCTGCGGCAAGGTCTTTTCACATCGTGCACTGCTAGAGCGCCACCTGGCCACACATCCTGCACCCTGACTGTGACCATGCCACTTCCTGTGCCATTACCCCCCTCCCCAGCCTGGACTCTACCCTCTTCCCCCCCACCTTTTTTTTTTACCGGGAATCAAACTCAGGACCTTACACTTGCCAGGCAGGCACTGTGTCACTGAGTTATATCCCCGACCATATTGGACACTTTTTGTATGTGCATGTGGACTTTCTGGGAACTGCACAGTTCCAAATTGACCTGGAGTCCCGGACCTGAGTAACGGAGCTTGGGATCCATGACCCTAGGCTGCCCTGGGGTGTGGGACAGCATGAGGCCTGTGGCCTCCCATCCGGACCTTCCCTCCCTCACTGGACTCCTGAGACATGGTAGACTCATCACAGATGGATTCAGGTGGACTCGGACTCTAATAAAGTTTGTTGGGCCAGTGCCCTCTTCTGCTCTTGCTGGGCTGGGGGCATCAGGGCTTCTGGGCAGGGCACTGAGGTGGGGTACATGTGTGACTGACATTCACTGCCTTGAAGTTGTCGATCCTGTGGTAGAGGATCCCAGACTCCCTACACACACACCACCACCATCACTACCACCCATACACCACACTGCTAGTAGCCAGACTTGAGCCATTTCATTTGTTGTTTTGGTAACAGGACTTGAACTCAGGACCTCACACTTGCCAGGCAGGTGCTGTGCCACTGAGCTAGATCCCAGGCCCCTGAACCTTTTCACCTTCAGATTCCTGCTCCCCCTGCTGATGGTGGGACACCTTATTTTTGAGAGGCCTGGGGAGGGAGGTTTTCAGGGCCAAGCTGCTGTGAATGTGAATGAGCCCAGCCTAGCCTGCCCTGGCTGCTGGGTTCTGAGTGCAGGAAGGGTTAGGTGGCCATGTGGGGTATGGGATGCAGCAATGGCTAGGACCCTAGGGCAGGGGGATGAAGATGTGAACCCCAGAGGCTCAGGACCCACCAGACCGGTGGACAGCCCAGGGTGGGAGGATCTGCTACCAGTCAAGGCCAGAAAGATTCATTTGAGATTCACAGAGCCCAAAGGAAAGATGCAGAGCCATGGGAATGTCCTGGCATGCCGTTACTATTTCAGCAGCATGGGGAACAATGCTGAGAAATTTTATTCCCACATATGAAACTCCCAAGTTCCCAGAAAGTTATATGGCACAGACTACTTGTTTACGTATTTATTGCAAATGTATGGGTTATATAACATGCTGACCAGAGGAGGGGATATAGCTCAGTGGCACAAGCACCTACCTGGCAAGTGCAAGGTCCTGAGTTCGATTCCCAGTACAAAAAAAAAAAAAGAAAAAGGAAAAAAACAGGTGAACATGCTGATCGACTCACTGGCAAACAGAAGACCTAAGCGAAAAGCCTGAGTCCAACCTTCTTGGGCACCCCAAGCACACATTCCACCCCACTAGGGAGTTTTCACTGCAGTTACCCATGAGTTCATGTGGTTCCCTTCGTGAGAAGTGTGGAGCATTGCACCCACGATCCACAACAATAACACAGGCTGCAACAACAAGCTACTAACAGACCCCACGCCTTGTAGGGGTTTGATTTGTCTCTATCCCCTCCCAAGTGTGGGAAATCTTTGACATCAAATAAAACATACATCACGGTCCTAGGACCTGTTATAGTTCTGGTCACAGGAGCCTGGTAGGCAAAGTGCTGTGCTGTTGCAGGTATGTCCCAACTTTGCCAAGGTGGGAATCTGGGTAGTACTGGCAGTATCTGGGGCTTAGCAGGCCAATCTTGGACCCATCCTGTTATAGAATAGGTGGTCTTGATGGCCACAGGAGCTGCCTTAGTAATGCTTTCAGTGGCTGTCGGAGCAGCACAAGCTAGTGTTTTCCGCAATGAGTATCTGCTCTTGGCCGTTTTCCACAGTTGGGACCAGAACCTTGTCAGTTTTCACAACCATTCTGATTTCTGCTATAGCACCCACCCAAAACTATCCATGTTCACATGGACATCCAGCTGATATGGCCCAGGCTGGGCCAAAGAAGTATAAGGCTTGAGCCATCTTTATGGTCGTATTTGTAGTCATGAAGTCGCACCCAGGACCAGCCCCAGGGCCTGCTTCCTTTTGTTAGCTCTTGTAGGAGGTGTGACGACTGGGGCAGATGTGGCACCAAAACTGTCCAGTAGTGCAGCAACCCTCAGGTTTGCAACTGCTTTACTGTGGTAGGGGCAGGGTAGGCTTTGATCTTTTTTGGTTTTTTGAGAGTGCCCCACTGGGTGGTTCAGGCTATCCTCCTGTCTCAGCCCCCCAAGTGCTGTGATTACAGGTGTGAACATGACACCCAGCAGACCGGGCTCTTATCTGTGAGTGCACCCTTGATGACTTTTGTCTTACTGGACCAGACAACACCCAAGAATTTGAAAACTAGGCCCTTGCAGCTTGCCCTTGACCGGTCAACCACATGTCTTGAGATTTGTTTGGAGCACTGCTTCAGCTGCGTCAAGGTCTATAAGAGGGTCACAAGTAAGCAGGATATCATCAATATAAAGTACATTTGCAGGGGCTGGGGATGTAGCTCAGCGGCACAGCGCCTGCCTGGCAAGCACGAGGTCGTGAGTTTGATTCCCAGTACTGGAAAACAAATAAACAAACAAAAGTACATTTGCAGACAGTGGCTTTGGACACTGACCCAAATCTGATGCCACCAAAGCATGACACAGATGAGGCTATGCAGGTATCCCTGTGGGAGCAGAGAAAAAGTCCATTGACAGCCATCCCACATAAGTGCAAACTGGTCCTGACTGGGGCTATGTCAACAGAAGAGCAAGTATCTGCTGACAAGTGTTAAGTGCCAGCCCCTGACTAAGACCTGATTGACTACCACAGAGGGCATAGCAGCATGCAGTGGGGGAATTACCTTATTAGGTCCTGGTAGTCCACTGTTATCCTCCAGGAGCCATCAGGTTTTCTTTGTTGTTTGTTTTTGTCTTTTTGAGACAGGGTCTCACTGCCTAGTTCAGGCTGGCCTTGAGCTCACTTTGTAGCCCAGGCTGGCCTCGAATTCGGAATGATCCTCCTGCCAGAGTCTCTCGAGTGCTGGGATTATAGGTGTGTGCCACAGGCAAATTGTCCCAAATAACTCCTACTTTCTCCAATCATCCCACTGGTACATCTGCCTGGCAGGTGGTACTGCCCCACAGCTGTGATTTCAGGGCACCAGCTGTGCTTTGCATGGTCTTTTACCACCGCCTTCATTGGTATACTTGCAGCAGAGTTCCCTCATAGCAGCTGGAGCTATAGTTCATAGAGTATATCAGCTCCCAAGATGTACTCCATTACTGGGGGGAGCCATACCTCTGACATTCCTTAGGGTCCAGGCAGCCTATTTCCAAATGCACAGAAGCCCCACAACTATCTACATACAATGCAGGGCCCCAGAACTCCAGGTTCCCAAACAACAAGATGCACTCAGCCCGTGTCTGCTAGGGCAGGAACCCATTGGATACTGGTCGGGGACCAGGGGGTTGCTAGTTCCACATAAGGCCTCTGATCCCCATCGATCCCCCTCAGATGAGCATTTTGACCTTGGCCCTATTCAAAGATGAGAGCCAGAAGTGAGATGATCTTCCAATTTAATGCCCTGAGCCATGGCTGCAGGGCAAATTTTTGATCCACCTAGAAGCGTCTCCGTAACTCTTAACAGGCAGATATTTGGCTTTTTGTTGATCTTGGCCTGATTTGTGCCCCCGACAGGTCTGTCCACAGCAGGCTTTCCTGATTGCCTCCTCCCCCACTTTGTCTGGGCTGTCCATGACATAGTAAGGACATTAATGGCCCTGCCTCCTAGTCTTCACCTCTCCATGCTGGCCACCATTGTAGTCATTTTATTAAGCCAGTGTGCCACCATAGGTCCAAGCTGGTCATGAGTGACCCAAGGAAGAGCAGGGGGCTTTCTGAAGGACCACATGCCTCATGCCTGCAGTGAACTGTTTATCATTAGGCCCCTGGGTGTTAAGGTTAAACAGTGCCTGTTGCATACCCAACTCCCACAGGATGGGTAAAAGATCAGTTTTGCTTAGCATCTTGGACACACCCCACATTGGCTGCCATAAACCAATCAACCATGGAGTGAGTCTCTTGTCCATACCAGCAGCTGTTCTGAGCCACTGTCTAAGGGCAGGGTGACTAGAGATGAAGGCAAACATCTCTATCTCCTGCCCAGCACACATACACATAAAACCACCCACCCCCAAATCCCACAGTCTCAGTAACCAGGCAGCCACAGGTTCCCTCTGGCATTGTCTAAGTACTTTCCAAATCTACCAATTCAGCCTGGGTGGGGGCAGTACATGGAAAACTCAGTCATTTGGGCAGGACCCAAGGCTACTCTGTTGGGTACATGAACTGCTGCTGCATTTTCAGCATCACCACTGGCTGGGCTTTCCTGCGTGGAACTGGCTAGGTATCTTTTTTTTTTTTTTTTTTTTTTTTTCTTTTTGTCTTTTTGAGACAGGGTCTCGCTATGCAGTTCAGGCTGGCCTTGAGCTCACTTTGTAGTTTAGGCTGGTCTTGAGCTTGCAACGATCCTTCCGCTTCAGCCTTCTAAGTGCTGGGATTACAGGCGTGTGCCTGGCAAGGCTTTCTCTTTTGAAATGGGTGTTCCATTCACCTCCATCCATGCCTGAGGAGGGGCCAATGTCGAGAGGAGGCTGGCCACGGAGTACCACATTCTCACAGCTCATCACCCCTCAGTCCAAAACAGGGGTAGAGGGTTCCATATCTGGCTGGAGCTGCACCAGTTGTTCTCCCACCAGTAAGGTCACTTGAGATTTGAACAGCTCAAAGAAAAGATGCAGAGCCATGAGAATGTCACACATGCCCTTTGCTGTCTCAGTGGCTTGGGGAGCAGTGCTGAGAAACTTTGCTTTTATCTATGATATCAAAGCTGGCAAGTTGCCAGGATGCACAGACTACTAGTTTACATACTCACTGCAGATGTGTGGGCTACATAACCTGTGCCGCCTCACTAGCAAATGGAAGGCTTAGGCAGAGGCCTGAGTCCAGCTGTCACGGTACCCTGAGCACACAGGGTCCTTCTCCTCCACTTCCCCCGGCCTTGTGCGCTGGGGCCGGTGTGGGGCTGCACCCACATCCAGGCTGTCGGCTGGGCTCCTGCAGCGGCTCTGAGTGCTCCTAGTCTGGCCATGCTCATCACAGACAGACTTCATTCTCCTGCACTCCAAGGTTCAATCCCTGTGGACAGCAGGGGAGCAGTTACGTACGAGTTGAGGTGTGAGCGTTCCAGTATTCTCCGTATACTTGCTGAGGACATGTCGTTGCCAGTTCAGAGGTGCCACTACCAGCCCTCCAGCAAGGGAACAGAGCAGCTTGCGTGCTGCTAGTGCTGGAAGGTGTGCTGGCGGTTGCAGCGGTAACATGCCCTAGGGCAGCAGTTTAGCACAGAGCTGTCACGGGAAGGAGGCAGGTGCCAGCCCTGGAGGAGGGCTAGGCAAACAGGGTAACAAGGCTGGTGATGGCTCAACCTGGGGGCGGAGACCTGGGGCCCAGAGGTCAGCAACAGAGGAGGGAGGCAGAGCTGTTGAATGGGCATAGGGGCTGGAGCTGCACGGGAACAGAGGGCCGAGGGCAGAGTCCAGGGGTCAGGGGCAACTGCTAATGTCAGTGCCAGGGCCTTTGGTGGGCAGAGTGCACCAGCTACTCTGTGGGGCCCAGGTTTAGAGGTGAGACTGCAAATTCCACATCCTCTTCTCCAACGAGACGGGTGGTACCATGGGTACCTGGCAGCGGTTGGCCGTGCTCCTGATGTTGCTGCTCCTGGTGGGGGCCCTGGGGCATCCTGTATGGCCGGCTGCTGTGGCAGTGGCCCTGCGCTGGTTCCTCGGAGACCCCCTGTGCTTTCTGCTGCTGGGCCTGGTGGCACTGGCCTGGCTCTGGATCAGCTCCTGGCAGCCTCACCTGCTGGGCTTGGTGGCTGCAGCCCTTACTCTGACCCTGCTTCCCACACGGCCACCCTCATGGCTGCGCTGGTTGCCTGCAGATGTGGCCTACTTAGCCAAGATCCTCCGTATGGGCCTGAACATCAGGGCGCGCCTGAGCCGACAGCCTCCAGACACCATTGTGGATACCTTTGAGCGGAGAGCACGAGCGCAGCCTGGCCGGGTGTGCTTGGTGTGGACTGGCCCTGGAGCCTGCACCGTCACTGTTGGCGAGCTGGATGCCCAGGCCTGCCAGGCAGCATGGGCCCTGAAGGCCGAGCTGGGCAGCACAGAGGCCGTGTGTCCCAGGGAGCCTGTTGCTCTTCTTGTGGGAAGCTCGAAGGCCATTTCTGCTCTGAGTCTGTGGCTGGGCTTGGCCAAATTGGGCTGCCCAGTGGCCTGGATCAACCCGAATGGCCGTGGGGCGCCCCTGGAACACTCTGTGCTCAGCTCGGGGGCCCGGGTGCTGGTGGTGGATCCAGGTGAGGACCCCAGGGCCACAGGAAGAGGGCAGGGGCAGGGGCTGTGCTGGTGGGGCTGGGCAGGGGTCCCTTTGCTGCCACCCACTCGCGTCACAGGCAGTGACAAAACAGTGTAGCTGAGAGGTCACTGGGGGGGGGGGCCGCTGGTTTTAATTTTTTCCCAAAATAGTGATTTTAGTTCTTTTTGACAAAAACTTTACTAGTTATGGGATCCTTTACCCAAGAATGATGAAACCTCTCTCTGCTGGCTGTTCCTGTGTGTTTGGGTCTTGGGTCTTCCCTGCTGACCAGGGAGCTCTGCCTCAGTCTCTCTCCTGACTTCTAGACCTCCGGGACAGCCTGGAGGAGGTCCTTCCCAAGCTGCAGGCCGCACACGTCCGCTGCTTCTACCTCAGCCACACCTCCGCCACACCTGGTGTGGGGTCTCTGGGGGCCGCCCTGGCCTCCGCACCCTCTGACCCAGTGCCTGCTCACCTGCGTGCAGAAATCACACGTCGAAATCCTGCCCTGTTCATCTACACCTCAGGCACCACAGGTGAGGGTCCCCCAACCCCAGCCTAGCCTCTGCTGGCCTCCGACATAGCCCTGCCCTCCATTCTCGACATTTGGCCTTGACTCCAAAGCCCAGTGTCATGTGAATGCTCAGTGCATCCTGCCTCTGTCCAGTAAACAGTGCTGACGTTCTCATCAACCTTTGCTCTAGCCGGGCACGGTGACGCACGCCTGTAATCCCAGCACTCCAGAGGCTGAGGCAGGAGGATCCTTGTGAGTTCGAGACCAGCCTGGGCTACAAAGTGAGCTCAAGGCCGGCCTGAACTGCATAGGGAGACCCTGTCTCAAAAAGACAAAAACAAAAATAACAAAAAAAAAAAAAACCCAAAAAAACCCTTTGCTCTTGATCTCTCATTGCCTGCTGGAATTCAGTCCCAAAACACCCTGCTTGAGAGCCAAACCAGGGATACCTGACTGCTGCCCTTTGACCCCGCTTCCCAACGCTTCCTCCCAGGACTTCCGAAGCCGGCCATCCTCTCGTATGAGCGAGTGCTGCAGGTGAGCCAGATGCTGTCCTTGTGTGGGGCAACAGCCGATGATGTGGTCTACAGCTTCCTGCCTCTCTACCACACAATGGGGCTTGTCCTGGGGGTCCTCGGCTGCCTGGAGCTTGGTGAGCCCCTTTCGGAGGATCCCTTTAGTCCACAGGATCCTAGAGGGGGCATGGGAGCCGCTAAGGTGACAAGACCACATAGGTTACCCAGAGCTCTGTGCTGTCACTTTTGATAAGGGACCCCCCCCACCCCCCGGCCCCAGGCTGGAGTGTCTCAACGACCTCTAATGGTTGTGCTCTGGTCAAGAGGTGATAAGAACTCATGTGAGAGATGGGCGCGGGCACCAGGACGCTGGTCTGGTGTTGTGACCTGGGCCCAGAAACCAGTGAGCACACAGTCATCAGGTACTTGCCGGGCTGTCCTCCTGGACACCTAACTCATAATTTAGACAAAGGCTGCTCTATTCTAAGTTTTTATTTTTCTCTTTCTTTTTTAAAAAATTATGTACATATGTACGTATTTACAGTAGTAGGATTTGAACTCAGGGACCCATTACCATGGAACCACTTCCCAAGCCCTTCCTATTTTTAACTTCGAGATAGGGTCTCCTAAACTGCCCTGGTGGGGCTCAAACTTGTTGTTTTTTTTTTTCTCCTTTTGGTACTGGGAATTGAATTTAGGACCCTGTGCTTGCCAGGCAAGCGCTTGTGCCACTGAGCTATATCCGTGGCCCAGGACTCACCCTTGTGATCCTCAGGCTTCAGCCTCCTTCAGTGCTAGGGTTACACCTTTGTGCTACCACACCCGGCCATTTGGGTTTCTTTGTCCCTGTTCTACTCAGCATTGCACCCAGAGCCTTTGCCCTGAACCACATTCCCAGCCCTTTTAAATTTTTTTTTTATTTTGAGACAGACCTTACTAAGTCACTGAGTTTCCCAGGCTGGTCTTGAACTTGTGATCTTCTTACCTTAGCCTCTCAGAGTGTTGAGATTATAGTTATCTACCATGATGAGCTCATTTAGTCTTATTTTCAAATTTTCATCATGGAAAGTTGAAACATGTACATTCTTAAATTTTCCTATGTGAAAAAAACAAGAACAAACCTAAAAATGAGAAAGAAGACAAAAAGTGTACATGAAGCTGGACGTGGTAGCACATGCCTATAATCCTAGCATTCAAGGAGGCTGAGACAAGAAGTTACAAGTTTGAACGCAGCTTGGCAACTTAGCAATTTGTTCAGACCATCTCAAAATAAAAAATAAAAAGGACTGGGAATGTACTTCAGTGTGAAGGCCCTGGGTTCTATCCTTAGTAATGAAAAAAGAATTCTATATAAACCCTACGTACATACCATCCAGCTTCAGCCATCACTAGTATTGTACTGTATTTAACCTATCTCTACCATCCTCATTTGCCCTTTTCTTTCTTTCTTTTTTTTTTTTTTTTTGGTTGTTGTTTTCTTGAGACAGGGTTTTGCTATGCAGTTCAGACTGGCCTTGGGCTCACTTTGTAGCCCAGGCTGGCCTCAGACTTGCAGTGGTCCTCTTGCCTCAGCCTCCCAAGTGCTGGAATTACAGGCATATGCCACCACGCATGGCTTTTTTTTGAGACAGGGTCTTGTTATGTAATTCAGGCTGTCTTTGAATTTACAATGTAGTCTAGGCTGGCCTTGAACTCACAGAGCTCCTCCTCCGTCCACCTCCCAAGTGCTGGGATTACAGCCATGCACCCCCACACTTGGCTCCCACTTGCCTTTTTTTTTTTTTTGGTGCCGGTAATCAAACTCAGGACCTTGTGCTTGCCAGGCAGGTGCTTGTGCCGCTGCCCCAATCCCTTTCTTTTTTTCTTTTTTTTTTTTTTTTGTCTTTTTGAGACAGGGTCTCACTATGCAGTTTTTTCCGGTACGGGGAATCGAACTCATGACGTCATGCTTGCCAGGCAGGCACTGTGCCGCTGTGCCACTGAGCTAAATCCCCAGAGAAATACCCTTTGTTTTTTTGTTTGTTTTTTGTTTTTCTTCCGGTACAGGGAATCAAACTTACAACCTTGCGCTTGCCAGGCAGGCGCTATGCCACTGAGCTAAATCCCCAGCCCTTCACTATGCAGTTGAGGCTGCCCTTAAGCTCAGCTCACCAGGCTGGCCTTAAACTCACAACAAGCCTCCTGCACCCTGAGTACTGGGATTACAGGCATGCGCCACCATGCCCAGCAACTTTTTTGCTCTCATATGTAAAATATTTTTTGTCATGGAAATAAATGTAGAAATGTACAGGGTCTTGCTGTCTTCTCTAGTCTGGTCTAAAACTGCCAGATACCCAAGTAATACGTACTACAAGCCTATACCACTGGGCCCAGCTTCTCACAGAAAATTTCAAACGAAGTGCAATGACAAGCAGAAACAGAGGGTCTCTCTGTGCAGTTCAGGCTGGCCTTGAGCTCACTTTGTAGCCCAGGCTGGTTTGAACTCACAGGGATCCTCCTGCCTCCGCCTCCCGAGTGCTGAAATTACAGTTGTGCACCATTACACCTGCTGCCAGAAACAGTTTTAAAACACACACTTGCCACCTTATAAAGCATGTCATTATTGTAATTTGGGTGTAGAAATGATGAGCCAGATGCAGAGGAGGGCTTGGGAGGGAGGGCTCACTTCTCAGGAGTGAGGATAGTGGCCCTGAGGTCTCATTCACCCACGAGTCTATTTGTCAACACTGTACATCCCTAACCCTCCCACCAGCCTCCTCTGCATCTCCTGTCTACCTCATCACTGGCCGTTTCTGCACACCCTGATGCACCCGCTCTCCACGCCACCACTCATTTATCCGTCCACCATCTCACCTTTCCACCCCGCTACACTATCTGCCCTCCTACCCATCTGTCTGCCTCCTAGGTCAGTCAGAAAATTCAAGAGTAACAAACACTCCTTATGCAGGAGTGGGCTTTCCACACCCTCTAGAATTAGTTTTGTTTATTTATCTGAGTTTTTTTGTTTTTTTGAGACAGAGTAGTTGAGCTCACTGTGTAGCCCAGGTCAACTTCAAACTCTCCGTGATTCTCCTCCTCAGCCTCCCAAGTGGCCCCATGTACTCCTCTCTTGGGAGCAGCCCTGGCTGAGACAGAGAGATGAGCCTGACATCTCTGTGTCCCCAGAGATTGTACTGTTTTGGGGGTTCTTTTGTCTTTTTTTTTTTTTTTTTTTTTTTTGGTCTCTTTGAGACAGGGTCTCTCTATGCAGTTCAGGCTGACCTTGAGCTCGCTTTGCAAGGATCCTTCTGCCTCAGCCTCCTGAGTGCTGGGATTACAGGAGTGTACCACCACGCCTGGCCCCCAGAGATTGTAATCAGGTGATCAAAGCAGTTTCTCACAGCAACTTGGAAGCGCAGCTGAAGATCTACTCCTTCTTTCCCTCCCAGGAGCCACCTGTGTCCTGGCACCCAAGTTTTCTGCCTCCTGCTTCTGGGATGACTGTCGGCAGCATGGTGTGACAGTGATCCAGTATGTGGGTGAGGTTCTGCGGTACTTGTGCAATGCTCCCCAGGTGAGGCTCTGGAATTAGGACTTCAAGATATACACTGAAGGCGTGAAAACCCAGATGACACCCCAGGCAAAGTTCTCAGATGAAAGACTCAGGTGCAGGGCTGGGGACAGCTGGGGTGTGGTTTAGTGATGCATGCTGAGTGTTTAGCCTGTGGAGACTCAGTCAAGAGCCCCAGATAACAAGTTCCAGCTGGGTGTGGTGGCACATGCCTGTAATCCCAACGCTCGGGAGGCTGAGGTAGGAGGATCCTTGGGAGAGTTCGAGGCCAGCCTGAACTGCAGAGCAAGACCCTGTCTCAAAAAAGACCACAAGAAACCCAAGTTCCAGGCAAGTTCTCCTAAAGGGGTGCTTTGATGAGGAGCCTTGCTGTCCTCAGCAGGTGACTACCTTTCTCAGCCTCAGTGTGCTCTTTCGATAAGAGTAGCTCCTACCTGGCCTGGTGTGATAGTGCACGCCTGTCACCCCAGCACTTTGAGGCAGGATTGCAAGTTTGAGCCCAGCCTGGGCAATTTAGCAAGTTGGTGAGACCTTGTCTCAAAATAGAAATAAGCTGGAGATGTAGTTCAATGTAAAGGCCCTAGCTTTAATCCCCAGTACAAAGAAGGCCCCCATTCTTGTGAAAATTAAGTTAAACATATGGGATGTGGCTCAGAATAGACTCACTAGCTGGGCACAGTCTTATCCTTACAGACCAATGAGATATAAACCCTGGATAAGGTCCCCAGGTATCCCTCCAGGTAAAGTTTCAAGGTAACCCCTCAGGAGAAGGCTGCAGGTCACTTGTCCCGAGTACAGCCCTGAAGTAATCCTCAAACTGAGGCTTCAAGTCACTCCCCTGGTGACCTCTGCGTAAAGGCCCCCAGTAGCTCTTTTAGGTAAGGATTCCAGGTAACTCCCCTACGTGAGACCTCACCTACTTCTCCCAGGTAAGATCCCTGATGCATCAGGTCTCCTAGGTAACCCTGCAGATAAGGCCCCAAATAACTTTCCATAGGCAAAGCTCTCAGGTAACCCCTAGAAGTAATCCTTCAGGTCAACACTCCATAACTGTACCTCAGTACCCCAGGTAGGTTCCCTAGGGATGGTCCCCATCATCCCGTGGATCACTCTCAAGGGTCTGAGACAGCCCCCCGGGTGGGTGGGGCTCAGCGTTGCCCAGGACGCCTCCTCCTCTCCTTCTTGGGATGTTCTTGCAGCGACCAGAAGACAGGGCACACAGAGTCCGCTTGGCAATGGGCAACGGACTCCGAGGAGATGTGTGGGAAACCTTCCAGAAGCGCTTTGGCCCCGTTCAGATCTGGGAATTCTATGGTTCCACAGAGGGCAACATGGGCCTAGTCAACTACCCAGGGCGCCGTGGGGCTGTGGGCAAGATGAGCTGCTTCCTTCAGGTGAGTGGATGGGGTGCCCAGTGTGACAGCCCTGGCCGTGGCTGTGCCCGTGGTCCTCTGCCAGTGCTCCCCACCCTCCCCCAGGTGCTGTGTCCCTTTGAGCTTGTGCGGTTTGACATGGAGGCAGCAGAGCCTGTGAGAGACGAGCGGGGCTTGTGCATCCCCGTGGGGCCAGGTAGGGAGCCAAGGAGCTTTGTTCGGGTGGAGGAGCAGCGGGGGGCCTCAGCCTTACAAGCGTGGCTGGGTGGGCTGCCCAAAGCCTGGCGCCCAGAGCCTGCGGAGGGAGGTGCGCAGCCCTCATCGGGACCCGAGTCCCCGTCTGGCTGACCACCACCTGGGCTCCGCCTCTCCGCCTCTGAGCCCTGCCAGTCCTCCTGCCGCAGTCTCTTGCTCGGGTCTGCAGGTCTCCAGTGTCCCTCTGAGGTCTCCCTGGCTGTCTGTGGGGGGTTACATCGTCATCGCACCAGTCCCTTCTCTCCTGGGGCTTGGGAGGCCCCGGGCATGTCCTCCTTCCTCCCGTGTGTCTCTGCCCCTTGTCCCTCCTCGGTACCCTTTCCTGTTTCTCATGGGCTGCCAAGTGCCACCTTCTTCTTTCTGTCTCCGGTTTTCTGTGTCTCCCGGTGCTTGTCTTTCAGGCTGTCTCTGTCCTGGTGTTTCAGAGTCGGTCTTCCTGGTACTTGGCGAAGTCTATTGTCTTAGAAACCCCCGGCGGGGGCTGGCAGGCTGTTGGGTTCCTGCTCATGACTTATACTGTCCTCCCCCTTCTCCAGGGGAGCCTGGACTCCTGTTGACCAAGGTACTAAGCCGCTCCCCTTTCATGGGCTACCGTGGTCCCCGAGAGCTGTCTGAGCGGAAACTGGTGCGGGGTGTGCGGCGTCCAGGCGACCTTTATTACAACACTGGGGATGTCCTGGCCATGGACCATGAAGGCTTTTTCTACTTCCACGACCGCCTTGGGGACACCTTCCGGTCTGGTGGGGTTAGGCCTGGGGATAGGCTGGGCTGGTGTGGGTGACGGGAACCTGGACCCCGCTGTGAGGTGAGATTCAAGCCCTGGCTCCAACCCTGCAGATGGAAAGGCGAGAACGTGTCCACACGGGAGATAGAGGGTGTGCTGTCATTGGTGGACTTCCTGCAGGAAGTGAATGTCTATGGTGTGTCAGTACCAGGTACGGAGGGGCACTTGATCTTAAAATGTGGATGAAGCTGGGAATGAATGGTAGCACAGGTCTGTAAGCCCAGCACTTGGGAGACTGAGGCAGGAGGATAGTTGCAAGTTCAAGACCAGCCTAGGCTATACAGTGAGCTCAAAGCCAGCCTGAATTGCATAGTAAGACCCTGTCTCAAAAAAGACAAATAAACCCTCAAAAAAACAAAAAACCCTTGGACAGAGCTGAGCATGGTGGCACATGCCTGGAATCCCAGCACTGGGAGGGTGAGGCAGGAGAATTGCAAGTTCTAGCCCAGTTTGAGCAACTTAGCAACTTTTTGAGACTCTGTCTCAGAATACAAGGGCAGGGGATATAGCTCAGTGTGAAGGCCCCGGTTTAATCTCCAGTACCAACAAAACAAAACAAAACGAAAACCAAACAAACCTCAGATAACTTTGGGGTGGAGGGATGTTATTCTGATTTTACAGATGAGGGAACTGCTGGGGCACTGAGAGGGTTGGAGGTTGCTCAGATGCCCAGCCAGCAAGCAGGGGCAGGTGGTTCCACTGACGTGGAATGCTTTGTATGCTTCCCAGGGTGTGAGGGCAAAGTTGGCATGGCTGCTGTGAGGCTGGCCCCTGGCCAGACTTTTGATGGGCAGAAACTGTACCAGCATGTGTGCACGTGGCTCCCTACCTATGCTGCCCCCCATTTCATCCGTGTCCAGGTGAGTCAGGGCAGGAGGAGCAGCTGGGTGGGGGCTGGGGGCGTCACAGCCTAAGGTCATGATCATTGCTCTGTAGGACACCCTGGAGATCACGAGCACATTCAAACCCGTCAAGTCCCGTTTGGTGCGAGAGGGCTTCGATGTGGGGGCCATTTCTGAGCCCCTGTTCATCCTGGACCGCCAGGCCCAGGCCTTCCGGCCCCTGACGGCAGACACATATCAGGCTGTGTGCGAGGGAACCTGGAAACTCTGACCACGGGGGCTGCGCGCAGGACACTAAAGGGGCAGTGACCCAGGCTGTCTCCCCAGACCTCACAGAGCTGTCATGATCCCAGATGTACAGTCTGGGAATAACGCTGGCCCTGTAACAGAACAATAAACTCAAATGTGTCCACAGAGGTCTATGTGTGGATGAGAAAAGAACAGGGGAATGCAAGGTCTCCTGCAGGGACATCAGATATCCAGGGAAATGGTCCTCTCTGGGTAAGGCCAAGTGTGTGGCAGGAATGAGGGAAACAGCATTACTGAGGCTGAGGCAGGAGGATCGCTGTGAGTTGGAGGCCAGCCTGGGTTACACAGTGAGTTCAACGTCAGCCTGGACTACATAATGAGACCCTGTCTCAAAAAACAACAACAAAATCCATTACCTCCATTTCCTGTTCTTTTGTGACCTCTGAGACCCCCAGGCTTGCGCCAGCAGATAATGGAAGTGGAGGGAGCTCCTGTGATCTGTGTTCCGGGGGTGTGAGAAGGAAATGTTGTAGCTGGGTTGTCTGACAAAGACTGGAAGGCACTGGGCTAGAGCAGAAAGTGTGAACAGGAAGGGAGAGGAGAGCCCCTGGCTGAGTGAACAGTACATGCAGAGGCCCTGTGGTAAGTTTTGTAGGGAAGAAGAACCAGAGGCAGAAACCTCTGGGACCTGGAGTCTCATCACAGTCTCCAGGGCAGGCGGTACTTCCTCGGGCACTGCAGATAGTGCAGACGGGTTTGTGGGTGCCAAGATGTCCGGGATACAGATCTGCACTCTCAGGAGCTGGGAGCGCTTTGTGGAGCCTTCTGGGGAAGTGGGGGAGAGTGCCAGGCAGATGCAGAGCCTCTGGGAAGCGCTGCAAGCAAGAGTGCGCAGCAGCCTCGCCCCAGCCCTCAGGCCACAGCTGTGTCAGCGCAGGTGTGCAGGGCGCGGGGCCTCGGCATGGTCCTGCCCTGCTCACGCTGGCATGCTCGAGGATGCTGCTTGGCGGCAGTCGTCTGCCGCCCTGCCGGGAGAGGCCAGTGGAAGCAAGTGTGCAGCTCAAGCTCAGCAGAACTACAGCTTCCTGCATGCTCTGGGCCACCGCCTTCTGCTCCTCCAGGAGCCTCCCAGCCGGAAGGAGCTGCGCTGTGCAGCGGCTGCAGGGCCAGGCTTTGCCAGCCCTTTGGGTTTGCCTTTGGTCACATTCCTGCTTCCTTCAGGAACATCTGGCCCCAGGGGAGCTGGGAGTTCTGTGCACAAAGCATGGAGCTGGCCACCTCTGCCGCATTCCAGCTTCCTTGCCTGGTGTGCAGCAGGTCCTAACAGGCTGGGATGGTTCCTGCGGGCCCCCACCCCCTGCCATGAACCCAATAGCTCATTGTTACTGCAAGGCCTTTGTACCCTCTGGGACCACAGAGCAGCCCAGAATGGGCTTGGACCGCAAGAATAAAGCAGCAAAGGTGGGTGCTGCTCACACCCTCCGCAGGCCACGTTCCTCCTGGTCTCTGTGACCCTGGAGCCCTAATTTCCAGACTCTTCTGGGCTCTTGCACAGGCTGCCTACGATCTGGTGCCAGCCTGAGACCAGGTGTCATGGCTTCTGTCCTGCGTGCTCCACTGTGAGCGGGTGTGAAGTTTTGCCCAGCCCCAATAGTCAACGCTGCACTCCTCGTCACTCATTTTTTTTGTTTTGTTTTTTTTCCGGTACCGGGAATCAAACTCATGACCTTGTGCTTGCCAGGCAGGCGCTGTCCTGCTGAGCTAAATCCCCAGCCCCTTTGTCACTCACTTCTAAGGGTCCTGGCCAGTGCAGCTGTGTCACTATTTTCTACTGTTGGACAAAACCAGCACCAGGGATGTGGGCCTAGGAAAGCCTCTCAACCAGCAGATTACCAAGCATTTGACGTGCTGAGGATGTACAGTAGGGATGTATGGTGGATTTGAACCTAGGTATTTAGATCTCAGCACTTGAGGTGTAAAGAGAGAGGTAGCCACTTATAGGCTACATGACTTGGGGTAAGTTCCTAGAGCAACCTATTTCCTGTGCCCGTTTCCTCTAATGGAATATGGAGCAGATGGTTGTACTTACCTAGAAGGATCTTTATGAGGCTTCAACAAGACATAGGGAAAGTTTCCTACAAAGGGTACCTGTATCCTTCCTGTTGGGATGGTGGTTCTAGAGGTCATTCAGGGCCTTGGTTTGTTTACGTGCAGGGTGGGCATGCTGCCTTCACCTTGCAGTGTCATTGGGAGGACCTTCATAAACAACTATAGGAATAGTTGGGTGTGGTGATCCATGCCTGTAATTCAGCACTTTCAGGGGCTGAGACCAGAGGATTGTGAGTTCAAAGCCACAATCTTACTACTCTGTCAAAAAAGAAAAGAAAAACAGAGCTGGGCATGGTGGCACACACCTGTAATCCCAGCACTGGTGAGGCTGAGGCAGGAGGATGGTTGCGAGTTTGAGGCCAGCCTGGGCTACAAAGTGTGTTCAAGACTAGCCTGAACTGCTTAGTGACAGCCTGTCTCAAAAAGAAAAAAAAATCAACAAAAAACAATGAAAAAACCCCAGGCATGGTGGCCTATAATCCCAGCACTCTGGAAGGCTGAGGCAGGAAGATCACAAACTGGAGCCCAGCCCAAGAAACTTAGCAAGACCCTCTCTCAAAATAAAAAAGAGTTGAGGATACAGCTCAGTGCCAATGTCATGGGTTCAATCTCAGTGCCACCACACACACACACACAAATCCAGAAAACAAGTACAGGAATACATGTGTGTCTGAGAACCCTGATGAGCTCCCTCAGGGCCTCTAGTACTTACCAACTGGCAATTCATTTCACCCCTGATGCATGTCCCAAGGAGGGTGGGAGTACCACTCACGCTTTACGGCAGCGGCAGCCCCCACTTAGAAGTGCTTTAACTGGGAATTACTTAGCCAACCCCATCACTGCCGGTGTTGGGTCAAAACACATTAATGGTATTATAGATCTCACTATAGACTGTTGATACACAAGCTCCCTGGCACTTTGTTCAAATCCATGCTTCTAGTCCTAGCCAGCTTAGGTCATTCACCCCCTCGGACCCCACACTGAGGATTGAACCCTAGGCCTCACACTCAGCTACATCCTGAGCCTTTTAAGTTTCTAAAATTTATTTTGGTGTGCACATGTGTGCGCGTGTGTCACTGGGTATTGAAGCTGGGCCTCACACACGCTTGGCAAGTGCTGTACCACTGAGCTACATCTCCAGCCCCACATATAATTTTGTTTTTATTTTTAAATTTTTATTTATTTTTGGTACCAGGAGTCAAACTCAAGACCTTGCGCTTGTCAGGCAGGCACTGTGCCGCTGAGCTATATCCCCAGCCCTCCACATATAATTTTGATTTGTATTTATTTATTCATCTGTTGACAGTGCTGTGAATACCAGTGTCATGCACTGGCTATGTGGCCAGGGACCAGGGAGGCCAAGCCCTTCTCTCGTAGTGCTAGTATTTTCCTGATTGCTTCAAAGCGTGCAGATTTTAGCCGGGTAATAAGGTTTCTTCTGAAGTGAATTACTGCTTCATAGACTTTCTCTACATTTATGTTTTAGTCATTATTTATTTGGAACCTTAAAATATTTTTTTGCCGGGCATGGTGGTGCACACCTGTAATCCCAGCACTCTGGAGGCTGAGGCTGGAGGATCACTGTGAGTTTGAGACCAACCTGCGCTACAAAGTGAGCTCAAGGCCAGAAAGACCCTGCCTCAAAAAGACAAAAAAAAAGAAAAAAAATAAAGTAAAATAAAGTTATTTTTTCTTTTTAGTCATTTTTTTGAGACAGGGTCTCATTATGTAGTTCATGCTGGTCTGGAGCTCACTTTGTAGCCCAGGCTGGCCTTGAACTCACAACGATCCTCTTGCCTCAGCCTCCTGAGTGCTGGGATTACAGGCGTGCACCACCATGCCTGGCAACATTTTCTATTTTATAGTGGTTTATGGTGCAGACTGGAGGAGGGGGCAGTCCTAGACATTGAGTCCAGGAGCTTACACAAGCTAGGCAAGTGCCCTACCATTGAGCTGTATTCCCATTCATTTATATTTTTATGTTGAGCTGTAAGAGAATAAATCTGTTTCAGCTCACCTAGTTGGTTAGAGCAGCTGCTAAGAAGTGAACACTGTGTAAGTCCTGAGTGATGTCTGGAGAGCCAGCAGACACTTCCAGGCAGCAGGGCACTGAGCCTTTGTCCTTCCGCACCACCACAGGGCACGTGGGGCTGTGCCCTGGCCTCCAGTGTGTCCACCCGCACAAAGCAAGGAAGTCCCCTACTTGCCCACCTCAGAGCTCACAGGACAGTGAGGATGCTGACGATGTGGGTGGCCAAGGAAGGAGGTGGGCTGGAGAGGGACACTGGGGCTGGCCCCTCTGGGTTGGACAGCTACCCCATGGCTCTAAGCTGCCAGGCAAGGAGCATACACTACTGATTTTCTGGCCAGCAGAAGTGAGAAATCAAATTCTTATTCAGAGACTTTCCCATTTTCAAAGTATAATTTATGTCAGAAATCCAACCTATACTCCTAACTACTAAGGAGGCTGAGGCAGGAGGATCGCAAGATCAAGGCTAGCCTAGGCAATCTAGTGAGACCCTGCCTCTAATTTTTTTTATAAAAACAGGGCTACAGTGTAGTTCAGTGATTGCCTAGCATGCCCAAGGTCCTGAGTTCATACCCTTGAGCCCCTTCCCAAAACATAAATTATGCACTTGGAGGTCAGTCTCTAATGGGGGAATACAGGGAGGTAGTCAGATATGAGTGGGGAGGGGTCTCTAGAACTGCTGGCCTGGGGCAGGTGGCTGAGGACAGTTGAACTGTGCCGGCTTTTTTTTGATAATGGGAAGTGGGCCAAGGTGCGAGAGGGCCTTAACCAACTGAAAGGGAACCCTAATGGGACGGGGACCATCAGCTAGCCAGGAAGGGGAGCTAAAGACTGCATCCACATTAACTACCCTAGGTGTCCTTGAGCTGGCCTACCCTCATTACCATATGTTTAAGGCTTCTTATATATGCACCACACCTTATTAATTACTGACAGGTGACAGGAAAACACATGCTCAATTCCAAGTTAAAAGTAGGGCAAGGATACATAATAAATATGCAGCAGAGTGTGGAGGTAAAATAAAAGAAACCAAAACAAAGGAACAGTGGCTGCTCACAGGCTGGTGGTGTCCTGGCTCGTCTGTTAGCCTTGTGCTACTTAAGTAGCACACTTTTCAATTTGAAACCATTTCCTGGCTTGAGCATGGTCTCCTGTTTGTTTTTTTGTTTGGTCTCTTTGAGGCAGGGTCTCGCTATGCAGTTCAGGCTGGCCTTGAGCTCACTTTGTAGCCCAGGCTGGTCTCGAACTTGCAACGATCCTCCTGCCTCAGCCTCCCGAGTGCTGGGATCACAGGCGTGCACCACCATGCCCGGCGAGCAGGGTCTCTTGACATTTGTGAGGCTGTCCAGGAAAATTCTCCTCTGGTCACCAAGAACCAGGAAACGACAGGAGACAAGGCCACATTCAGAACAGATGCCAGCTGTGCTTTCCTGGGTCTCTTGCCCCCTTCCACACACAGACTGGAGGCCCTGCTGCTTCAGGGAGGGCACAGGGCAGTTCCCGCGTCCCCACTGCCAGCAAGAGGTCCTGGAGCAGGGAGTGCGGTCAGCGTGCACTGCACCCTGCGTGGGGAGCATGGCCTGCGCGGCCACTGCGTTGCGCAATCACGCTCAGCGGCGAGCCTGACCTCCATCCCAGGGGCGGCTCCTCCTCACGGTGCCTCAGGCCGGTGGCCCTTGCAGTGGATGACCAGCTGTGACTTCCAGTCGAAGGCGCGGCCGCAGTCTCCGCAGGCGTGACGCCGCTGGCCAGCGTGGGCCTTGCGGTGGATAACCAGCTGTGACTTCCAGCTGAAGCTGCGGCCACAGTCCTGGCAGGTGTGGCCTGGCGCATGGCGTGGGGTGCTGCGGGATGCGCAGGGCGACGGAACGGGCTCCTGGGCACGCGTGTGCGAGCGCCTGTGCATCACGAAGACCGACTTCCAGTCAAAGCCACAGCCGCACTGTGCACACGTGTAGGGCTTGCGTGGCACAGGCGGGTCCTGGTGAGTGGGGTGTGGGCTCAGCTCCCGGTCAGGGTTCAGTTCTCCGTCCGGCAGCCCTGTGGATGGGGGGGTCAGGCAGGCACACACCCAGATGGAGGTGTGAGGGTACAGGGACTCGGGCAAGGCAGTCCTCACCTAGGGACACTGCAGAGCCGTACTTCTGCAGCATTGCATCCCAGCAGAGCTCCTTCTGTGACGGGTCCAGCAGGGCCCATTGCTCCTGTGGGTAGGCAACTGTCATGGCTGGGAAGGGATGGCACTCCTCCGTCACCATGCCTTGAAGAGAAGGGAGCAAGAGCCCTGGGGACCTGGATGTGTTCTGCCTAACTCCTTACCTGTAGTGGATCTGCCTTGTCTCTGGACGTGGAGACCTGGTACTAGGAGGGCCCACGTTAAGAGGTATAGTGGGGTACCTTGGGACTTGTGAGTAGGTGACTGGTACTGCAGCAAGTTCAGGGTGCCAGCAGGGCCTCAAGAGAGGGTGAGCTTGGTGCAGAGGGGCCTGACCAGGAGTGCACGTCCTGCCCACAAGGTCTGTCCTCCCCACTGCCCCCAGGTACGTCATCTGAGGCTTTGCTGAGCTGGGGAAAGGAATCTGAAGGACAAGCCAGAGCAGAGACAGGGAGACGGCAGCCACATGTGGCCGCAGACAAAGGCTGAGCAGGCTTTGAGGAAGACCCCTGGGAGGGTGCAGCTATCCCACTGCCTCAGGTTTCTGACTGGGCCACAGGCTGTGCAGGGCACCTGTGGGTCTTCACTGAAGGCCTGGAAATGTCTCTCAAGCAGCAGCTATGCTGCAGAAGCCTCTGAATGGGGAAGCTCAGAAGCAAAAGAGCTGGGAGAGAACAAATCTCTCACTCCACACACTTGGGAACAGGGCTCAAGGAAGCAGAGCTTTGAGCTAAGCTTCCAGGCCTGGCTGACTGCCTTCCGCGAAAAGCCTTAGCAGACAAGGGACTTTAGAAATTTCCTGGGAAAAGTATCTCTGTCTGACCTCAGGTGTAAGGCAGGCACTACTACAGTTGCTCATCTGTCCCTGCCTGGCCCGCAAACAAGTTCAAATGTCCAGGTGCAGCCCAGCAACCCTGGGAGCCACACACCTCTCCAGGACTTCTCTGGAGATGAGGAAGCCACACCCATGAGTTCTAGCCACACAAACCAGGTTTCCACGGCCTACACTACACGCCTCTTCAATCACTGGAGACAGCAGGCTTTCCCTCTGCCCTCAGGAACTGTGGGGTAACTCTGGGACTTACTTTCCTTTTGAGCAGCAAAGAGCACAAGAGTCACTGCCCAGACAGCCTGCGGGACCACAAGGCAGAAGCACCACCAGGGATGCCCCCTCAACCAGAGAAACTCACCTGATCCCTGGGTGGTTGTAAAGATGTGGAGGCCGATTCCTGGTGTTCCCGATGATGCTTGGATGATGGGGCCAGAAGTAGGGGGCTGAGAGGTGCTGAAGCAGATGCAAAGGGGTGTCAGGGGCTAACCACATAAAACAGGTGGAGGAGGGGCTGGTGTCACTGCTATGGCCTGGACCCAGCGCTGCTGTGTGACATGGTGGGTAGCCAGCTCTTTACTCCTGCCTCCCTGGTCTCAGCTCTGCAATAGCTCCAGAGTCCCCAACCCAGCCAGGGTCATCCACACTGGGTCCAGGAGCCCCTGCCTTGGCACAATCTCTCCTGGGAACCCGCCCCGCCCACCCTTAGCCTCACCCATCTCCTGCCCATCCACACCGAGCTCCTCCTTCACAATGCAACTGAGCTGGGCAGAGCCTTCCATCCTGGCGTCCTGTGGGCCCTCCCCTGGGGCTGCTCCACAGGGACCCTCCCTCACTGAGGGCTGAGGGCTCCCACAGGATTCCTCTGTCTTCCGGGCTGCAGACAGCGCCTCTGGCTTCAGAATATGGGCTGTGATCTAAGGAGAAGAGGCATGTCACAGGCTTTCCTTTCAACCTATCCCCCTGAGAAGTAATGCCACCACACTCACCCAGCCCAGCAGCTGCCCAGGGTCCTGCTGCAGACCCTCCACCAGGGCAGCAGCCTCCTCGGGGCAGCCTGGCTGCTGCCTGCGAACCCAGGCCTGGATCTCAGGTGGCAGCGTGCCCAGGAACTGCTCCAGCACCAGCAGCTCCAGGATCTCCTCCTTGGAGCAGGCCTCGGGCCGCAGCCACTGCCGGCACAGCTCTCGGAGCCGGGCCAGTGCTTCCCGCGGCCCTGCCACCTCCTCATAGCAGAATCCCCGGAAACGCAGCCGCGCACCTTCCGGCCCCTCGAGGCTGGCCTCAGGGTCCCCGAGGGGCAGGTGTGAGGGACCCACAGGGGATGGCATTCTTTTTCTGGAGTGTCTTCTTGGAGCTGCCGAGAGGAACCTGGAGAAGAGGAGGATCACAGTGTCATCCAAGGGGGCCTGGCCAGGCCAAGGCAGACAGCAGGGCCAGCCTGGGGGCCACGGCCGGCGCAGAGCAGACCCTGAGGCCAGCGTCGGGGAGGCTGGGAAAGCTTCACCGAAGGAGGGTACAAGAGCTGACTGCTAAGGAGACTGAAACCAGGGGGAAGCCTTGGGAGAAAACGCAAGGTATCCAGGATCGTTTCACCAAACTGGAGTTGCGTCAGATACTGGGGTCCAAGAGGACTGCTGGGGAGGACAGGAGCGGCTCCTCCAGCAAGACGAGGGGCCATTCGGGAAGGCGGAGCAGCGGTCCAGGGCGGGGGGCAGAGGCGGGGCGAGCGTCCCAGTGTCCTGGACGTCTGGCTCCAGGGCCGGGCGAGGCAGAGGGTGAGGGACGAGGGGCATCGCGGGAGCGAGTGTAACAGGCCCCGCGCTCCAGCTGCAGCGAAAGGGACGCTCCGCACTCCGTACCGCCCGGACCGTGCACAGAAAGCCGAACAGCACCGCGGGGACCACCGGCCAGGACCCGGAGCCCCGAGGAAGTTCCGCAGGGGCCCGGTCTCCCCGACTGCGAGCGAAGGAGCAGATCCGCGGGAGGCCGGCCCTGCACGGGGCACGGCGCTCGGTCCTCCGAGAGGAGAGAGGCCCGCAGCGGGGCGACACCCCTTCCGGTCCCGGGCGCCGCCGCGCCCCTCGGACTACGTTTCCCGAAGGCCTCTGCCAGCCAGGACAGGCGCGCGTCGTCAGAGGCTCCTCACGACTGGGCGGCGCGCTGCGGCTCTCGAGGAATCTGCCCGGCCAGCTTCCGGAGCTCCCGCTCCCGGACGGCACCCGCGCTTCGCCTGCCGCCGAACCCCGCAACTCACCACGGCCCACCGACGCGCGTTGGATCCCTGCGCATGTGCGTAGCGGACCGAGGTTCTATTGGCTAACGGTGCTATCGCTTGGCCAATCAAAGCGGGCATCCCGTCCGAGCACCTGTCTCAGCCCCCCAAGGTAGCGTCGGCAGCCCGCTGTCACCTAGTAACAACTGCAGCCCTTCCAGGGGCCTCCGCTGTCTCCAGGCCGACGACGAGAGCGTCTCCCCGCCGCTGAGGAGGCCGGAGGAAGCGGCTCTGTGGCCTCTGGGTCAAAGAGTTCGCTTGAGACTCCTCTGCGCGCGGTCCCGTGGAGAGAGCCGGCGGGATTTGTCCCGCGAGGAGGGTACTGGAAACCATTCGACCTTCGTTAAGCGCCCTGCAGCCCTGCGGGCGGGCACAGGCAGTCAGTCCGGCGGGCAGTCTTGTACTGAGGAGGTAACCATGGAATCACTGTCTCTCACTTGTCTTCAGATAACAATTATGCAAATGAAGGATTGACGTTTCTGTGCAGGTTCATGGATGTGCTCAGCCTTTTATTTGGGGACCAGAATTAGACAAGCGGTCTATGCTTGTTTTCTCTCTCTCTCTCTTTTTTTTTTTTTTTTTTTTTGAGACAGGGTCTCGCTGTGCAGCTCAGGCTGGCCTTGAGTTCACTTTGTAACCCAGGCTGATCTCGAACTCGCAACGATCCCCCTGCCTCAGTCTCCCGAGTGCTTCTCCCAATATTTTTACTAGTTGTTTATTTTACATTCTTTTTTGGGGGGCGTCTTTTTGAGACAGGGTCTCACTGTGCAGTTCAGGCTGACCTTGAGCTCACTTTGTAGCCTAGGCTGGTCTCGAACTCGCAAGGATCCTCCTGCCTCAGCCTCCTGAGTGCTGGGATTACAGGCGTGCGCCAGCACACCCTGCTTTTTTGGGGAGGGGCGGCGGTATTTTACACTACTTTTGAGGCAGGGCCTCACTATGTAATCCAGGTTGGCCTTGAACTTAGGGCAATCCTCCTGCCTCAACCTCCCAAGTGCTGGGATTACAGGCGTGCGCCACCATGCCCCGCTGTTTTTAAAAGGCCGAACCATGTCATTGGGTCAGTTTTGCTTCCAGATCAAGTGGCTGAGCCATGACTTATTCATTCAATCCCAAGCTACATTTTGTGTTTTGGTATCTTCTGATACCTGGGAAAATGCCGCACTACCAGCTCTGGATGAGCAGTTGTGTGGGTAGAGCTCATCAACTGAGATTTCCACCAGCTTCCTTGGGTTGGGCTATTTTGGAAGAGTAGAGCTTTTCTCTGGGACTATGCAGGTTCTTTGCAAACAACTCTTTTACCATAGGTGGGAAGGGTGCAGGGGCTTTAATGACTCTCAGGGCTCTTCTGGAAGTTTGGTATAGGCCTCCCCTCCCTGGGCTGTTCCCAAGTCGGCTGCTGCACAATAGGATAAGCCTGCTTGGGTCTGTTTTCCTCCTTGCCAATTCAACATTTAGCTTTCTTTGAACTAGTGACATCCTCACCCACTTCTAGCTTCAGAATGCCATTGCTGTTGACTCTTTTTCCCATCACATACTGTTTTTTTGTCTTTTTGAGACAGGATCTCAGTATGAAGTTCAGGCTGGCCTTGAGCTCACTTTGTAGCTCAGGCTGGTCTCAAACTCACAAAATCCTCCTGCCTCAGCCTCCCAAGTGCTGGGATTACAGGTGTGCGCCACCATGCCCAGCTCCCCATCACATACTTGATTTGTGTTTCAAACACTTTGTGGTTCCAGTGAGTTGGAGATAAATGTGATGTGTTTGGTCTTACGTTTTGACTGCAAAGGCCCAGGACACTTTTATCATCACAGCTAATTCAGGGTAAGGAGAGGCCAGTGGACATGACCTTGGGCTGAGGAAAAGGTAACTCAGGGACCAAGGCTGGAAGGAGAGCGCCCAGATTGGAGGCCCTGACTAGTTCCAGTGTTGGAGGAAGCAGAATCGAGGAGAGCAGAGCCCTGGGACAACAGGGGCACAAGCACAGACGTGGCAAGGAATGCAGTGTAGGAGAGAAGGCTGGTGGCCAGTGCACAAGACTGGGCACTGGACGCACCTGAGGGCTCAGGGCAGAAACTTGGCTCCAGAAATCCCCACCCGAGGCCCAGGAAAAGTTTCGTGTGGCTGGGTACCCACTTGCTTAACAGATGTCCTCAGTCCTGAACGCCACAGCCTCCCCAGGAGTCTCTCTGTGGCAGGTGGGGGTGTCTACATTTCCTAGATCTGCAGGCTGAGTCCATGGCATGAGGAATGGGGAACAGATGATGACTCAGAGTATCAGGGGCCCCACTCAGAGGATCTGCCCTGCAGGGTTTGGGGAGGAGGTCCAGCATGCTGTCCTTCCTTGCCGGAACTTGTGAGGCCTGATGGGCAGGAGGCGGGTCTGGTACCCAAGGTGGGTGAACAGGATAGCTGTCTGCCCGCAGAGCACAGGGGATGGCTCCCGTGTCTTGGAGGTGATGGGACGAGAGCATCTACTGGGCTGGAGTCCACTCTGCCTTGACAGCACATGACCATGCTTCACTTTGCCTGCCTGCATGACCTGAACCCACAAAGGCTCAGCTCCCAGGAGCTGTGGCTCCCACCCTAACCCATTGCAGGCCACTGTTACGGCTGATGCACTGTGTCAACCTGAGGAGTCTAGCAGCTTAACTGACTCAGCAGTTTACATCCTGGGGTGAAAAGGACAGCCCTTGCTGCTCTAGGATGTTGTTCACTGTCCAACTTGAGAAGTTTAAAAGCTCAACTTTAAAATGCTTCAGCAGGGAGCCAGGGTCCGTCCTTTGTGAACATCCTCTGCTTACGGAAGAGGAGGGCAGAGGCGGTGTGGGTGTGGGCAGAGAGCAGATATACAGTATCAGGAGGAAAAGAGGCTTGCTTCCCTCCCTTTTCGCTTTTACTGCTTTCGCTGTCTTCTGCCGACCTGAAGTGTTGCCCCTGTGCCACGCCTCCCTGCCTTCGCCAGCTGATTACAGGCTGAAGCCTCCACACACTGAGCTAAGTAAACCTTTCCTTCCTTAATTTTGGGCACTGGATATTTTGTCTCAGCAATGAGAGAAAAGTAAGCAAGACAGCCACCAAAGGATGCAGATGTCCTACTCCCCAGCTGGGCTTCACCCTGGCTGCATCTCTACCCACGGTCTCTCCAGGTTGAGCAAAATGCCCAAACGTGTGATGACAACATCTCCACTGCATGTCCATTCAATACGCCTGTATTGTATTAGGGTGAGAGAGGCATCGGGCTGTTACTGTTCACACAGATGTTTAAAAAGCTGGATGAGGGGGCTCACACCTACAATTCCAGCACTCAGGAGGCTGAGGCTGCAGAGTTCAAGGCCAGCCTGTTCTTTGGTTTTGTTTTGTTTTGGTTTTTTTGAGACGGTCTTGCTATGCAGTTCAGGCTGGCCTTTAGCTCACTTTGAGCTGGCCTCAAACTCACCATGATCCTCCTGCTTCAGCCTCTTGAGTTCTGGGATTACAGGTGTGAGCCACCACTTCCTGCTTCAAGGCCAGCCTGAACTACACAGTGAGACCCTGTCTCAAAAACACCAAAACCAAAAAAAAGACCTTTGGGGTGGAGTGGTATATACCTGTAATTCTAGCATTCTGGGAGGCTGAGGCAGGGTTATATACTATACTCTAGCCCAGGCAACTTACTGGTTTCAGAACCTGTCTCAAAATAAAAAATAAAATGGTAAAGGATGCAGCTCAGTGTGAAGGGGCTGAGTTATACTGCCCCCCCAAAAGAAAAAGTCCTTTTGAGGGAACCTCTTTTCTTTTGTGTGTGTGGTGCTGGGGATTGAACCCAGAGCCTTGCATATACTAAGGGAGCCTCTCTGGAGTCTTGTGAAAACCTGAACACTGGCATGGAGCCAAGGGTTAAGACCGTGGCCTCCCATGTTCCTGTGCAAGAAATGACAACTTACATCCATTCCAAGTTGTAAATACTAGTCTTTTTTTTCCTCCCAGTCCAAAGATCATTAACTTCCCCAGCACTGAGGCCTCAGGCAGGAACAGACCCGATCAGCTACAGGACAGAAGAGGCAAACTAGGCCACCACCCCACCCATCTGTCCCCAAAGCTCCAAAGAGCCAGACCAGTCTTAGGTAATGGCAAGTCCTCCCTGTTCAGCAGTGCCACCTTCCAGCCGTGGGGGAGATCAGGGGACTTGTGGCCAACAACCCAGCAAAAACGAGCAGCTGGACCTCTTCCCTCCGAAGTTACCACAGACTTAGATATAAAGGGTTCTTGACACTGATTTTGGTCTCAGGAGCTGGTGACAGGGCTGGGTGAGGATATGAATGGTACAGCCAGGGCAGCACCCTTGATCTGTCTCTCTACAGCTGAGAGCCACATCTCCCACAGGCCTCCACCTCCTGGGAGTCTGCTGCACCCAGGGAGCCAGGCCAGTGTGCCTGAGTTCTAGTCTGGTTCTGCTGTGTGCCCTGGGCAGCTCCCCTCCCCTCTCCTCCCTCACCTTTTAAGTGGGAATAGATACTAGCACAGGGCTCACAGGAGGAAATTTCCAGTGGCTGCTGGTGAACATGTAAGACCTTATCAGGATCCTACTACCAGGGTGGACCCAAATTTTTTCTTTTGCACAGAGGAGGAAGCTGAGGCTCAGAACCTAGCCACCTGCCCAGGCCAGCCCTCTAACTCCCATTCAGAAGCCTTCAGAGGGCTGGGCAGGCCCCAGGGAATCCCCGCATGGCAAAGGCCTGGGCCCAGCCGCTAGCGCATGCTAGCGCAGACAGGTCGGTCCAGGCTCCCAGTTCCACAAAGCACTCAACAAGCGCCAGAGCTTGCTCCACTGGCCTTTGCAGGCCCTGACTGCAGTCCAGGTGCAGGGCCAGCCCAGCGCCTGGATGAACCTCTGATGTCTCTGCAGCGCGACCTCTGAGGGTAGAAGCATGGGCTGTGGCCAATCTGCCACCATGTGCAAAGGGACTCAGGCCTGGGCGGGGCCAGAGCTGGCCTGAGCCCTGGTCTCCTTCTCTGCTGCCCCCGTCACCAGGGGAAGCCGGGCCCTGGACCTCCGCAGGGCCTTCTCGCCCGTGTGGATCCGCTGGTGGTGGAAAAGTGCAGGGCGCTCGCGGAAGGCCCGGCCGCACTGCGTGCAGACAAAGGGCTTCTCGCCCGTGTGGATGCGCCTGTGGCTGAGCAGCACGGCGCCCTTGGCGAAGGCCTTGCCGCAGTCTGCACAGCGGAAGGGCCGCTCGCCCGTATGCAGCAGCCGGTGCTGCGTGAGGTTGGAGCTGTGGCTGAAGGCGCGGCCGCACTGCGTGCAGGCAAAGGGCTTCTCGCCCGTGTGCACGCGCTGGTGCTTGAACAGCGAGGAGCCCTGGCTGAAGGCAGCGCCGCAGAGCGCGCAGGTGAAGGGCTTCTCGCCCGTGTGCGTGCGCTCGTGCTGGATCAGGTGCGAATTGCGGCAGAAGCGACGGCCGCAGCGCGCGCACGCGTAGGGCCGGCCCCCCGCGTGGATCTTGCGATGCTGGCTGAGGTTGGAGCCGTGGCTGAAGGCTTTGCCACAGTCGCCGCAGCGGAAGGCCTTCTCGGCCGTGTGGATGCGCTGGTGGCGCACGAGCGAGGAGCTGTGTCGGAAGGCCTTGCCACAGGCCGGGCAGGCGTAGGGTGTCTCACCGCTGTGGATGCGCAGGTGCTGCGTCAGGTGCGAGGTCTGGCTGAAGGCCTTGCCGCACTGCACGCACGCATAGGGCCGCTCGCCGGTGTGTGTGCGCAGGTGCTTCAGCAGGTCGGAGCTCTTCACGAACACCTTGCTGCAGGCCCTGCACTCGAAGGGCTTGTCCCCCAGGAGTGGGCCTGGCTCCCCAGGCTCCTCCCCTAGCCCTAATTCCCAGGCCATGCGGGGATCCCCTGGGTCCTGGTCCTGGGACACTTGAGGCACTGATGACCGATGCTCTAGGTCCTTATCCCCGGGCCCGCCGCCGCTCCGTGGGGAGCTCAGCCGGAGCCCCGAACCCAGCAGGAGCCTCTCCCAGTAGATCACCGACACTCCCGTGGGCTTCCTCTCTTGAGATGGTGTGGTGCCTGGCAGGACACTAGCAAGAGTGCCCGGGGAGGCGCCAGGGGAGGCCTCTGGGCTGGCTGTTGGTGCTGTGGCTTCTCTCGAGATGCCTGTGTGCTGGGCCACACAACAGGAACCTGAGGGCAGAAAAACGGGGCTGCCTGTGTCATCTAGCCAGGACCAGAGCAGACTGCGTGGGCAGGTGAGGGACCCGGCTACTGGGTGTGAAGCCTAGAAGAAAAGCAGAGGCTTGTGGGAAGGGGGCGAGGACGTGTGGACCTGACAGGTGTGGAACTCCCAACAGTGCCGACCCCCAGGATGTGGGGTACAGAAGCCGAGCAGCTGTCTGCCAGAGCTCCCGTCATCTTCATCCTGTGACGAGCTGACAAAACGGGTACTGTGGCTCTTTCAGATCGTGGCTCTGCTGTTTGCGGGGGTGTGGGGAGAGGAAGCTGTTCACTTCAGAAAACTGGTGCTAAAAAGTGGGGTCCCTGCAGTGATTCCACCTGACCATGTGCTGCAGAAGTGCAGCCTAATGGAAGATTCTGGTGTGAACTCAGACCAGATAGCTGATGGGAATGTGGACAGTAAAGATGATTTTTTTTGTTTTGTGTTCTGAGACAGGGTCTTACTGCTCAGTTCAGGCTAGCTTGAACTATTAGCCCAGGCTGGCCTCAGAATTCAAGCCGATCCTTCCTGCCTCAGCTGTCTGAGTGCTGGGATGATAGACGTGCACCACCACACCTGGCCAGCAGAGATGATTCTGTTGGGAATTGGTACATTCTGGCAAAGCACATAGCCATATTTTGTACATGCCCTGAGACTTTACAGCAGGCTGGGTTTAGAAGTGAAAGACTAATTAACCTGGTGGAGGAAATTTCAAGGCAGCAGTAATGCTGGCTTTTAGCCAGATTTACAATGATACTCATTAGGAAAAGCTAGAGCAGAGAAACTTTTAAAACTTGCAGTTTAAGCTGGGGCCAAGGAAGGCATGGCTATAGAAGTGATTAGTGCTCTTAAAAAGAAGCCAAGGATTGATTATAGGACTTCTGGGAAGATGGCAGAGGGGTGAATAGAAGAGAAGTAGCCTGAGATTTGGTGTCCCGATGCTGGAATACAGCACAGGAGGAAGAGAAGGAGGGAAGTGGGTCTCTAGGACCCAGTGAAGATATGAAGCCAGAATAGAAGCCTGAGAGCGAAGAGACCTTAATATGAAGGACGTGGCAAGCAGTGCCTTTTCCCTGAGCCCTGGCTCTCTGCATGGAAGGGAAGGCTCGAACCTGCAGATACACAGTGACTACTGGGGACCTCACAGGCCTCCAGGGAGAAACGCACAAGTGGAATGTAGGTGTGGACCTAGCAGACCGCAGTGGCTGGTGTGTTATTTGGATCCAGATGTCCCTCAGGAGATGCCAACTGGCCAGTAGCTATCTTGGAGAGAGGCCAGCTGAGCCTGGAACTCAGCAGCTGCGGCTGGTTAGTGTCACAGCTCCCGAGTCAGGGTGAGGTATACAACAGTATATAACTGAGTTCAATGCGGCAGAAGGCCAAGGAGCCAAGTTCAAGCCAGCAGAAGGAACACGGTGTGTTGCAGACTGAACAAATCAGGTTCCAGTCACACAGCGAGAACCCAACCTAAACTTCAGTGGAACTAAAAGTACAGGCTTGCTGATATTATGCATTAACGCACCATAAATCTAAGGCTGGCTTGCTGGGACCACTCAACTCGGATCTGGGCTGCCTGCCCACTCTCCACCAGCGACAGCAGAGAAATGTCCTGAACTGAACATTTTTTTCTTTTCTTGTTTGTTTTCATATTTCTTTCTTTCTTTCTTCCTTCCTTCCTTCCTTCCTTCCTTCCTTCCTTCCCTCCTTCCCTCCTTCCTTCCTTCCTTCCTTCCTTCCTTCCTTCCTTCCTTTCTCTTTTTTTTTTGAGACAGGGTCTCACTACACAGTTCAGGCTGGCCTTGAG